ATATATATGAAATACATATGCTTTTAAGTTATTTTCAATTTCTTTACCATGGAATTCAATTAGCATGGTGACCCAGCTCACTCTGTGTGCAAATTGACTTTCCCTATGAAAAGTCAATGTGAAAAAAATAATGAATCAGGTAGCGATAAGATATTTTAGAGTATAATTTCTCTAAGGTGGTAGGAAAAGAAAATCACAGAGAGTGGGTACAATGAGATCTCAACCAACACGGATATATAAGTATTTAAATATACCAGTTTACCTTTGTTTCCTGTTCTCCAATCTCCTGCCAGTGCATTCCTTTAATAAATCCTAGCTGGTGACTATTTGGCAAGGGCATCAGGAAAACAGAACAGGTCCGAACAAAATCAGAAAAGAGTTAAGTAAGTGAACAGGAAAAAGCCCAGCTGTTCTGCCTTCTAGTCTTAATTCCAGATTTGCAAACACTATATAAACTTATGTAAATATTTTGTGTCTTGAATAGAATTTCAGTGCTAGAAAGGATGTTATCAAGCATCATGGCCAATGGTTTTTGAAATTCCCTATGAGAGCTGCTGAGCAGCTATTTTTTTCTGTTTTCCATGTTAACACTCCCAAGAAAATGGTTCTTAAATAAAAGAGTCTGTGGCTTTAAGAGTACAGTTTCACTAGGGAGTCCAACTCTGCACTTTAAAAATGGAGAAAAGGAAGAATGGAGAATTTAGTGGCTTTTAGAAACCTCTGCTGGACTTCCTCTCACAGCACAAATGTTTATTAGGGTCAGAGCCCAGACTCGGTTTGCCAGGACTCTGTCCATCCACCACCAACCTTCCAGCCTCTGGCAATTTTAAGAATCGTAGAAAGCATTTGAAATATTTTAGTAAACATCCTCTCTCCCTCATGTCAGATCATCCAGAGTGAGGGTCCAAGTACACTGTACTTTAATTTTTTTAATGTTCTACACACTCTTAAGCACAACCCCTGGAACAACTGCTCTAGAGAACAGATTGCTAATCACCACAGCTTCACAACCAACAGTAAATTCAACTACAATCAGCCCACCTTACATTTATACAGCACGTTCCCATTTATTATTAAGTGAAACACTGCAGAGCCTCAGGAGGTAGATGTGAAAGGGAACTAAAGCTTGCTCAAAGTCACCCAGTGGAGGAAGAGCCCCAGCACTGAAAACTGGCTCCAGGTATCCAGTCTAATGCTTCTTCTTCACCACTGCAGGTTGACTTTTTCTACCACAATTACTATGGCAGGAATGTGGCATTGTAGAAATGATTTCCAACCAAGAAACCATAAACAATCCTTGTTTTCTTAAGCATTATGAATTTCATGAAAATAGCAGTAAAGGATTATTTCTCTAGTTGCACGTATATCTGCAACCTGCAAGAAAACCAGACACAGTACTCCGAAATGATTTCAAACAGCTCCACCGTTTGTGTCTTATGTGGTCGGAAGAATGTTACTTTTCCAGCCTCACAGGGGGCTCACTGTACTCTTCTCGTCAAGCTCCAGCCCGTCAAGCTCCAGCCACAGTGGACTTCCTTCTGGCCTTCATGCGTGGCTCTCCTCCCACTGCTTGCCTTGAGACTGAGCCGGAGATGCCATTTTCTTCCCGCTATCACATGCTTTTCAACATTGGAAATCATCTCTCAACCTCTCCATGTTGGGTCTGTGATGTAAACCAGGAGTTTTCTATGAATTTTACTGGCTTACTGGTTTTCCTTTCCTAGTTTCACTATCTCCCTCTCCCTGCTTGTTATCCCTCCTGGTATTGGCCCATTCATTGCGTTGTAGAAGTGTGGGATTTTCAACTTCTCTTTCACTGTCATCTTTGCTGAGATGAATTTCTACCATCACTTGACATCAGAATTTGTGATTAGGCTCTGAAGATGGCAGTTCTCCTGATTCTATCAAGGTTGAATTTTTTTTTTTTTCTGGTACTGGGGATTGAACTCAGGGCCTTGTGGTTGACAGGCAGGCGTGGCACCACTGACCTACATTCCTGGCCCCCAAGGATGAATTTTCTAAAAATTTAAATTAACAAAAATTCCTGATTCTCTGGAATCCTAATTAATGAAGACATTGACTAGCAGTCATTAATACTGATTTATTCTAAATTAGAAACTGGGTAATTATGGATCTCAAATACTGATTGCCTGAGGATCATCTGGAGGAACATATTTAAAGTGGAGATCCTTGACCTTTCTATCCAGAGCTTCTAATTCAATAGGCCTCAGGCAGGACATGAGAATCATCTTTTATTTAAGAAATGTGCCTCTAATTAGGTTAGACCAGAACAATATCCTGACAAACACTAGTTTACAAGCTCAGTTTTCTAAACATCAACTGCCTGGGAAGTTGTTCTTTAAAAGCCTTTACTAGTCCCTCACAAGTAAGAAAAATAAGAAGGAAGCAATAGGCTTTTCTTTGTGAAAGTGAACATTTATTTATGACATGAAGTACCTCAATAAAAATGTGACACCCTAATGTTTCATCCTAAAATTATAATGTTGGATGTTTAATTTAATAATTTCTATAAATTTGCTTCTCTCTAACTTGTATAACCAGACTATTATAGTAGGCTGAATGTTCACATTAGGAAAAGTCCTTATAATTTTATCTAGTCCCATTGTGTCTTCCTTTTCTTGCCTGCCTCTTCTGCTATTTAGACAGATTAATTTTACATATTGGTACCATATTTCTGTACCCAGATATCAGAACAACAATCTAACAAAAACTAGTATGTTTAAGGAAACAATGAACCAGAATATTTAAAATCTGAACTGCCTAGAAAGAAATGTAAAACACATGCTACCTACAATCCTGTGATTTTCTTATCCTTAATTATTTCTCAGCTGTTCTAAGATCGCGCCTCTCCTGGCACACCAGTTACAAGGTGTAGCTTAATTAATTTAAGTACAATGTTGAGGCCTGCTCTGCAACCTCTGCCCTCTGATTTACAGACATGTTGCACATGCAAAGGGCTGGATGGGGCAGACTTTGAAATTCTAGATGCTATATCAACTCTTCTCTAAAGAGCATGTAAACCTGGTCGGATTTAAATGGTTTCCTTTGCTGCTCTCATTTCCTTCTACTCATTTATTCCATTCATTTTATAAAAATCTATGAAGTGTCAGGGATTCTGCTAGCCCCTGAATACAAAACTGAAAAGAACCCAATCTGCCTCAGGATCTGAAGGAGGAGAGACAATAAAACAAATTATTACAGTCATATTAATGGTGCATAGCTGGGAGCTAAGAACTACAGTAATTCGAACGAGTTGAACAGGCAGAAGAAATTGACGGGAGAAGGATGAGGGGACGTCTATCCCAGGAGGTGATATTGGGATGGAATCTGGAAAGCTAAGCAGAAGTTTGCTATATGGATAGGATGGGGAGATGTGCCCCGGCCAGCAGGGCTCGTAATTAGCAGAGCTCGAGAAGGGGAGATACCTGGAAAGGGGACAAAAGAGGCGCAGAAAGAAGGAGACCAAGCAGAGGCTTGTCAGGGTCTCGTTTATTTGCAGGCACAGGTAGTATATAAAGGCAAAAACCACAAAATTGTAAGAGGAAGTAGCTAACCACAAAATGACAAGATGACAAAAGAGGAACATATTGTATAATAACAATCACGATGGGATACAGTTGCTATGTGACAGATTAGGTCATTTGTTGAGCAAGGCCGCTACTACAGGCACCGGCATGTCTTTGCTTGTGGGGTAACAGACAGGTCAATATGGAGGTGGTTATGCTAGGCTCCAAATAATTCAAGAAGATGCTTTTGGTTTCCTACAGAGATGAGAAGGGAACAAACAGAGCCGCTACTAGGCCCCGGCATGTCTTTGCTTGTGGGGTAACAGACAGGTCAATATGGAGGTGGTTATGCTAGGCTCCAAATAATTCAAGAAGATGCTTTTGGTTTCCTACAGAGATGAGAAGGGAACAAACAGCTTAACTAAGGATCCAAAAAAAAAAAGTAAATCCAGATCATCAACGAGCTTCTGAGGAGCATCCTACAGAATGAAGAGCCCACTGAGGTTTGGGGATTTAGCTCAGTGGCACCACACCTACTTTGCAAGTGCAAGGTACTCAGCACACTCCCTGGTACCAGAAAAAAAAAAAAATGAAGAGCTACTGAAGTCTTTTGTAGATGTCTGTTTTTTGTTTGTTTGTTGTTTGTTTTGTTACTGGAGGATTGAGCTCCATCCTTAGCCCTTTTCTATATTTTAAAATTTGAAAACAGATTCTTGCTAACTTGTCCAATCTGAGCTCAAACTTAGGATCTTCCTGCCTCCGCTTTCCAGAGTGCTGGGGATTGCAGGTGAGTGCCATCATGCACAGCCTCTGTAGGAGTCATAAGGACTTTTAGAATCTGTATTTTAATAAGATTATTCTAGTTTTCTGCTTGGAGAATTCATGTACTGTAACTTTTTAAAGTGAATGTAAAGTGAATTTACCCAGGATATGGTTAGGATTAGAAACCAAGCTTATTTTTTAAGCAACACAAAAGATTATATATTAAAGTATCAAATCAAGGGCAAATACATAAATTCACTCGACCTGAGACCAAGTGCTTCAAAAGTGCTCCCAAACTAAGCCAAATTTTTATCCACTTAGCAAGAAATAGGTGATCTGTGTACAGATTAGGAGCGAGGCTGGGAGGCCTTTGTGAGCAAAGTTCTGAGTCGTCCGGCTGAGCTGGTTGGAGCCTGGCAATCTCCACCTGGTCAGATAACACAGTACAGCCCCAGCCTGGGCTTCTGAAGGCATTTTGAGGGCAAACGCCAGAGTGACTGCATTCCTGTAATCTGGCCTGAGTGTTCTTTCCCACAGCACAGAGGGAAACGACTCTATCTCTGACTTGCTAAACCCCATCTGCAAAAGCACACCCAATTGGCGGCAGCCACATCTCTCTCCGAAGTGTTCTGGGAGAAGATCCAGACAGAAGCACTTTATGTGGGGCAAACCAGTCACGTTAGCATCCTGTTTCCTCTCCTGACAGACAGACATTTTTCTTTTTGTCTATGGAAGAAACTAGAACTGGATCATGTGCCTGGGGTACCTAGAAGATGGAAATCTGTGACTCAGTAAAAAACTACAAAGGTGATTGGGGAGGCCAGGCAGAGAGGAAAGAAGGCAAAGAAAGCTCTAATTTAGGTCAACAGTGCAAATACTATGGTCAGGCTAGCGTGGACTGAAGGCTTTGAGAGAAGACTGAGCTTGCTCCAAGGGACTTCCTTTGGCAAAGAAAAACTGGCTTTGGGAACTGTCGACACCTTCTGTCCCCTTTAGGGTGAAAGTCTCTTCTTTTTATCTGAAGATGAAATGGTTATGTTTTCTGGTAGCAAGAAACTATTAAAACTGCAATTGAAATAAAAACCTAGTCTTGCTCTTTCACCACAGGAAAGTCCTTTCTCAGTCTCAGACTCTGGGTTCACTCAGATGCCAAAATCTATCCAATACATATCCAGCTACAAAGCTTGTATTTATTTAAAAATAGCTTTGTTATTGTTTTTATGATTATATATGCTCCTTGGAGAGAAAAAAAAACTCAGGGGAACACAGAAAAGTACCATGTTAAAAGTAAAAATAACTCAGCTGGTCATTGTATTCCATGCCTAAGGTCCCAGAACAAAAGAGGCTGAGGCTGGAAGATCACTGCAAGTTTAGGGTAAGCATGTGCCGGCTACGTAGTGAGTTCAAGGCCACCCTGAACTACATAGCAAGCCTTGTCTCAAAAGAAAGAAAGAAAGAACCAAAATGTCTATCACCTGCTATAAATATTTTAGCAAAAAAATCTTTCCCTTCCTCCCTTAGTCCCTTTTTTGCTGAATCCTTTCCTCCTCCAAATACTTTTTCACCATGTGACAGGCACAACAGATTCAAACTTGTGCGAGAGAGAAATGACTCTGTCCTCATGCCTCAGAATCTGTGTGCTTTGAGATCTCCACTTCTCTGCATATAAATAATTATATGCATACATATTTTAAAAAATGTATCCAAGACATCTATAATTTCACACAAGTAGAATTACTTTATAATAAGCATGTAATCTACTTACTTCTGCTTTCAAGAACAAATCCTAAACATTTTGTCAATACATACCACCATGTTAATGGCTCTCAAATGAGGTTGCTCAGAAATGCACATTTGATATTTTGGTGTGAGTGCTACTCTGCTCTCCACAAAGACCATATCACTTTGAGTAGGATATGACGATGTTTGAAACCTACGGCTCTATGTCCAGTCTACCATTGCCTCTCTACTATATCCATTCTGAATTATTTTTATATTCATGTTTTTCCATTTTTCTATGAAATCCAATTTATCCATCTTTTCTTTCATAGTTACTGTTTTAGAAAGGCTTTTCCTATCATTAAATTATTTTAAAGATACTTTTTTGGGGGGCCGGGGATTTAGCTCAGGGGTTCAGTGGCCTGCCTTGCAAGCGCCAAGGACCCAAGTTCAATCCCCGGTACCAAAAAAAAAAAGAAACTTTTTTCTAACATTTTAATCTTATATATTATATATCTATATATAATATTATATCCAAATTTTTGATCCATCTGGAATTTAATGTAATTAGGATTTGCATAAGCATACAGATTTATTCTTTCTGAAATATATGCAGGAATTGCAATTTTAAAGGGCTGTTTTCATGCCTTGGTTACAAGCTTCATAGTGCAACTTTGTATTTTTTTTTTTTTTACATGCACACTAATGCTAGAAATTCACACTTCTGGGATGGGTTTTTCACCCTCCATTAAAATAAAAACATCCTATGGGGAGGGAACACTTTAAGGTTTGGCAGTCATTTTTTCTTTTTTTTTTTTTTACTTTTTGCAACCTGAGACTTTTCAAGAGCAATGCAGGATTCTTGGGATGGATTCAAGGGTAGCAAAGTGGACAGTGTAGTGTTTCCTGGGGAAAAGAAACACGTAGATGAGAAGTTGACATTTCTAGAGTGTGAAGTTAGTGACAGAAAATGATGAGAGATGACATCAAATGCTGGCAGCAGGCGGATGCTGGCAGGTCTTGCTTATTCATATGCTACTTCAAAAGGATTAAACTATCTGTGTAAGGCACTGGGAGCCATAGGAGAGGTTAAGCATGGCAGAAACATGGCAGGTTTGGTTTTAGGGTGGATCATACTGTCTTTGCAGATAATTTATTTTGGACAGAGAAGCAGAAGCCATGGGGACAAATTGAAAAATGGTAATATGCTTTGGAATAAAGATTTTAGTAGTAATTGATGGCAGTGACTAAGAGATTTGTGAAATACTTAGGTGGTAAATTAGTACATGAGTGTAAAGAAAGAGATGGGACAGATTGATGGCCATACTCCTAGCTTGTGACTAGCGGCACCAGCCTAAGGAAATGGAGCATCCCAAAACACTAGTGATTATTTCCTAGGAAAATGCAAAATTTGATAATGACTAGATTTAAAAACCGCTAATAATATTAACATGTTGGGGAAGCTGGGGAAACTAGAACTCTCACGTGTTGGTGATAGCTGTATAAACTGACAGCTCTTTGGGGAGGAGAGGAAAACTGGAATTCTTATATGCTGTTAATAAGAGTGTAAACTGGAACATCTTTAGAAAAATGTAAATACCTATCAAGGTAAATTTATGTGTAACCTTGAGCTAGCAATGTCACTTCTAGGTAGTTCACAGAAATATGTACTTACGTTTGCCAAAACACATGTACAGGTCCAACAATTACATAGTTTCGTTATACACAATGGCCTCATATTTAAAATAGCCAAAACTCCATCAGTACTAAAATGGAAAAATAAATAGTAGTTTATTAGACACAGGAGAATGAACATGATATAGTTACATAAAGCATATAGATTAGTCTCATAGACATATTATGCTAAAGAAGCCATGCACAAAGAGAATTTACTATATGATTCCATTAATAAAACATTTTAAAACAAACAAGATGAATCTATTACACCTCAAGTTTGTCAATATTATTTTTAGAGTAAAAAGAACAATGAGTAACAAGGAGAGCAGGAAAACTACTGGATACTGGTAAGATTCTAAAAAGAATTAAAATGTGTTATATTTATGTACCAACTCCCCATGACGAATGTAATGTTATATATTTCAAAGATGTACTAATAAAAATTAAAACTTTAAAAAGAATATACTATGTGTCTTCTGTGAAGACTAAAGCTTATCTCAAAATTCCATAAGTCAATTGAATTTCAATTGACTGAATTTCAGTTCATTCATTTTGTTAAAAGAGAATATCAGTACCTGTCTACTAGAATTACATGTATGAGAATAAAATAAGCTAGCATATGTAAATATTTGTTACTGTGTGTTTTTTGCCTTCCCATCCTGATATATGTATGTAACCTCATAGCATTCTTTTTCCTGAAGGCAAATGCAAAAATAAAAATGGGAAGGCCAGAAAATGGTGTCTAGGAGGTATGTGGCCTGAAGATAGCTCTTGATTTTTGAATAGTTTACAAATGGTAATGCTAGTAATTCATGAACCAATATTTACTGTATCTTGCAAACATATCTGATCGAGAGACTCAGAAATAATTAAGAATCAACTATTTTCATAGATAGAATGGGAAGCCTGCATAGAATAAAAAAGAAATGATTGGCCGGGCGTGGTGGCACACGCCTGTAATCCTAGCACTCCGGAGGCTGAGGCAGGAGGATCGCTGTGAGTTTGAGACCAGCCTGGGCTACATAGTGAGTTCCAGGTCAGTCTCAACTACATAGTGAGACCCTGTCTCAAAAACAAAAACAAAAACAAAAAAAAAAAAAGGAATGATTGAGTCATGCAATAAGAAATTGGATACATTACAATAGGGCTTTGCAATCATCAAGGTGGTTCAAGGTGGCACTTAGGCTTATTGCATAATAATTATGGGAGAACCAAAGAAAGCCTTAGACACTATGAAAGGTGAAATTGTGCCTTAAAGTGGATATGTCCATTAAGGGCTATCTGATTTAGCTTCCTTAGTAGAAAAGGCACTACAAATCAAAACTGCAATGAATCAAATGTTCATAACATTTCATTCTGAAATGGTAAGAAATAATCTTAATAATAACTACCAGAGTTTCTTATGGCCCAGAAATGGCACAGGTGCTTTTAACTAAAATTAGGGATGAGGAAATTAAGGCTCATAAAAATTAAATGAGTCACTCAAGGTCATACCTGAATCTATTCAATATATTGCCACTGCAAGGACCACGACAAAGCTGTCAGTCTGTGTTAGTCTCACACTAACGAGATAAAGTTTAAACTAGGTTCTGAACTTACTGTATTAGGAACAGTATTAGCTTAATGTGCCAAACAAATTTATGAAAGAATAGCTTTTGTGACACTGACTGACAAGGTATTCACCTAACTTATTTCCTCTTACTTCAAGAATGCAACTAAACTATATTATCCAAGGTCCTCACGGTGACCTTGGATCATATGATTAAATTCTAGCCAAAGATCAATAGATGTGATATGTGGCACCTCCGGTTCTAGTCTCAGAGTAAAAGATGAAAGGAAATTAGGTCTGTCAATCACTGCTCAGACAAAAGTCATCCTGGTGGTTAGGAATACTTATTTTGGTTTTCACTTGAATAAAACAAAACGAAGCACTTCTATTTTAATAAATTATTGAGAATTGAGGCTGTGTTAGGATTTTATTTTTTAAAGGTTTATTAAGCTTTAAATAATAAAAGTCCAGAAAGACTTGAAAGTCCCAATGGTTCAACCTCTGGTGAGGGTCTCATGGCAGATGGTGTCATAATGATGGAATCCTCTGCAGAAGAAACCACATGGCAAGACTGGAAGCCAAAGAGAGTGGACAGCCAGATGCTTTTTAAAACAATCCATTCTCACAGGAACGAACCAGGGGTCTGGAGAGAGCTATGTTAATCTTATGCAAGGGCAGCACCTCCAGGACCTAATGATCTTACATTAGGCCTCACCTGCTAAAGATTCCCCCACCTCTCAACACCAACACACCGAGGACCAATCTTCCAACCTGCCAGCATATGAAACTTTGGGGGACACACTCAAAATACATGTTAATCATGGCAGTGCATTTATGTGTTGCAGTAGTCAGAGTGACCTTGAAGGCCTTTTTCATTGCTATCGTACTAAGCAGTCCTATGACTGATATCAATGGCCATTAATTAAGATGCAGCTGGATCAAGTTGGTGAGCGCTGAAAACATCTTTCAAAACAGACATCAAAAATGAAATGGAAACCAAGACACATCACTTAAAGGTACGAGATCCCAATGATGAATGTAACTGTACTGTATACTTAAAAGTACCAATAAACAACAAAAAAAATGAAATGGAAATCTAGTGATTATAAAGAATGCAATTAGGATCTAACATAAACATACTACATATACACCGAGGAAACTGACTGCTTTATTACTGCAAAAGAAATCCTCAGGATCAAAATGGAGGCAATAATGTTACCAGTTTAGAAGCAATTATTAATGAGAGAGAGAGAGAGAGAGAGAGAGAGAGAGAGTATTTATGTTTCTCTACAGAACTCTTAACCAGTACTTATTGTACTAGGAACAGTATTAGCTTAATGCATTTGACTCTATGTGAGGGATTGTTTATGAGTTGGGTGATGCTCCCTTTCTTTTTCCAGAGTGCCCCAGTTTGCATGATAAATTATATGATCACTCTTGTTTTGGGCTAAACTTCAGGCTCTTGGTTGAGACTTCTCTCTCTACTCCTAATATCTGATGCTCATGTAAGCCTACCAATATTAGCCAGGCGTGGTGGCTCACGCCTGTAATCTCAGCACTCGGGAGGCTGAGGCAGGAGCATTGCTGTGAGTTCAAGACTAGCCTGAGTTCCAGGTCAGTCTCAACTACATAGTGAGACCCTGTCTCAACCCCCCACCCCCCAAAAAAAAGACCACCAATATTGCTATTACCATGAAAGTTAAGTTCGTGAGGCAAAAGACATTTTTCCCCTTTTTTTAAAAATTTCAGCTAATAATTATTTGAGTACACTTCTTTGATGCGCTATCCCTCCCTCTCCACCAGGCTCCATGTCCATAAAAGACTAGAAAGAAAGTCTTCTCTTAAATGTAAGCAGTATTCTCTATTGGTACAAATTCAGGATGAGTTTAGCAAACAATAGCTTCTCTCTGATATGCAATCATTACCAGAATTAATGACAACAGAACAGTGACTTTTAAATAAAAATTATTATTTTAGGTATATGTTCTCAAAATTTTACCTGGATCATTTGAAATAACTTGTACCACAAAGCTTTGAGTCACAGTAACAGACCTTTTACACTGTATATGAGAGGGCAAACCCAGATGTAATTCTGAGTGAGGACTGGTCTCTAACAGTGTTTCACCAAGAAGATTTGGCAAGGGGAGTTTTAGGTGGCAGGTAGCAAATAATTAAAACTTCTTTGAAATATGCCTCATGCTAAAGTTATTGTACCCATTGCTATAGATCTAGGTATTAATTTGGGCTTCCCATACTCATGGAAAATAAATATGACTTATCTTTTTAGAGATTTGATTTTTTTGGTGTTTATCATGTTAGTTTTTTAATATTTGAATAAGCATAAGCATATCATTAAGTGGAATGCAAATGTAAGTGACTTTTTAAAATAAATGAAGCACTCCTTAAGAACCTTTCCCATTTCTAGTAATCATACTGTGATTCCCTCATGTTTCCTGAATACTAGGCAACAAATTTAGAGAATCACTGCTCTAAGGTAGAGTCCACTGGGGGCCTAATTTATTCAATCATCTATATGTTTTATGGTCACAGATTCAATGAGCTGTGATAACGGTGGAAGTTAAGAGCCCAGATTTAAATTCACATTCTGCCATTTAATAGCCTTAAATCCTTACGTAAATATGAAACAAGGATAGCGATAATTTATTTGATTTTGACTATTAAAGGACGTATATGAATTGCTTAGCACGATACATAATAATGCATAATAAGTACTCCACAGTTTTTCGTTCTTATTACTTCAAATATCTCTTGGACTGGAACTCTCTGTGATCACCCAATCTATATAAGTTTTTTTTCTAGAAAGTATCAAAGGGGATGTGAAAAAGCTGCAAGCGATTTTTTTAAAAAGCAACAACAAAGGCATTTTTAAAAGCTGAAGCTATAAGGAAAGATGAAAGAACCTGGGTGTTTTCAGCTCAGCGAAGAGGAATCCAAATAGTGACAGTAGCATTGAAGTGTGAGAATTAGTATGAGGGCAATGATGACAGGTTTGTTCCTATTTCCACAGAGGTTAGCATGCATAAATATTAGAGCAAAATGACTTGATTTGAAACAAATAAGAATGCCTTGTCAAAAAGAGTGACAACTGGTGAATGGCATACAGGAAAACGTGTGGATACTTCAACCAGGTGCATCTAGAAATATCCTGGCTAATTTAGGTGAAGATCTGGCTGAGGCTGCCCTGGCTGATCTTTTAAATTTGAATCCCAGATATCAGTTTTCAATCAATTTAGGCTCACAGTTTTTGGCCAGAGATGTAAATCCAGTCTTTTGAAGGCATTTTTATAAAAATTAATGTGAAACCTAATCAGAAAAATAGTCTTCTGTTTATAATGATGACAATAATGCTAGCAATAATAATATTTAAGTACTACTATATGAAAGACCATTTTAAGTATGTTACATGTCTTATGCTATTTCAGTAATTAATATCTGCATTTAATTACATAAACTATTCTGATCCTGGCATGATTTGAGCTTTTATTTGAGATCTGCCCAGGAGTGAATGCATGATAAAGAATACTTCACTCATCTAATTCTGCTTATCCTTCCATGCTGAGCTCAGATTGCTCCTGCTCTGTGGTGTACTCTGATTTTCTGGAGTTGTTTCTTTTTTCTCAGTACACAGTGCTTATTCTCCATGCCATTCATAAACTTAATCGGATTGCTGTACTGATATATTTCTGGTGTTGTGTTGTTTGGCTATCTGACACTTATCCCTTTGTTTACTTCCTCATGGATATATACCATATTTTCCAACCCTGTGTGTAAAATGTTCAGGGAACTAAGTACAGTAGTCATAAAATTGGCTTGAAAATTAGGCTGGTCGGTACCCATTTTCCTATATTGATACCAGCAATTATTTTTACTTTGGGAAAGTAATTTTTCTTACATTGTGTGCAGTCTTGATGAGATAATCAGTTGAGGTTCTCTACCGTTCTTTGGCCATGCTAGTTGACATTTCTCCTCAGGGCTTTGAACACGAAAAAAGTATCACAAGTACAGTGATAAGAGTTGATTTGTTTCTGAGAGAGTAACCAGAAGTTGTCTATCAGCTGTTTACCACATCCTGCTCTGGAACCTTGCTCTTCCTGTCCTTTCTTTGAAATACCTGATAGCCTTGCAACAAGTTGGCCCCACTGTTGGTTGCTGGTAGCCAAAGCATGCAAGTACCAGGACAAATCTTCCTATTTGTATGGCCTACTGCCCAGAGCATAGTGCTCAGCACAAAGTCGGAGTTCATAAATAAATAAATAAAGTCAATATTTAAGGGTTGAAACATAAAACTGATTCCTGAAACAAATAAGATTTATGAACACATTTTATGAACAGAAGATACAAGAATTTCAGTAGAGCCTCAGGAATATTACATCAGCGCTAAAATGATTAAATAGCGACTTTACATAGTACTATTATTCACCCTAAATAACTTTACTGTGCTTGTTAAGACATTTGAGAGGAACAACCACACTTAAAAAATCCCACTTAAACGCCCCAAACATGTCAGTGGTACACTCTTACTTCCAGAACTCCCTGCATTTCCCCCCAGAAGACCTCCCTGTAAGGAAAGTTAAACCAATTGATCTGAGTCAGGATGAATGACACTCACTGGATCGCACCAGGAAGGGAGTCCTATTTTACATTTTCAAATGGATTTAGCACAGTCATGCATATGTGTGTATCCAGGCCTGGAAAGAAATGAGGACAGAACTCGGAGAAATCAGGCAGAGGTCAGCCAGGAGAACAGAATAGAAAGCAATACCCACCGCAGTTCTACTGCTACACACCAGGTACAGGTTTGGCCCAAATGACCTCTAAAGCCTTCTCCAGTTCTGGCATTCTTTGCTTCTTTTTCTTTCTGTTTTTTTTGTAGTTACAAGTCTCAAATTAGCCCCACTCAGAGGCACTGGTAAGTGCAGAATAGTTATCGAAAATGATGTTTCAACAGTTTTCTTTAAAAAATAAAAACTCCATTAGTCTACAAACATAATTTTTCATCCAGTAAACATTTACTAATGGCCTGTTATGTACAAATAGCTATGCTATGTGGTAGAAGAAAGCATGCACAGAGATGCAAATAGTTGTAGCTGCTGCTTTTAAGCAGCACTTAATTTCCTACAAAATACGCTTGACCATTTTGTGCTTTTTGCCAAGGAAACTCTCAGTAAACAGCAGCAATTCCTGAATTAATCAGCAACAAACTCTTTTTATCTTCAGGGAGCTTTTGGTCCTTCATCATTCACTGATTAATTCAAGTTTTCACTGACTAAGCTCATGTATCAGCCTCTGCTAGGTTCTGGAGACAATGCCATGACTGTGATTAACAAGATCTCTGCCTTCCAGGAGCTCAAAGGGAGATTGAGAGTGACTCGCACCACCTACTTAGTTTTACTGTCAGTTCTTCAAGCCTAACATCACTGTAGTCACAATACCGTTCTGAAAAATCAAAACGAATTGGGTCACACGGGCTCACCCCACCCCCTTCACATCACAACCCCACCCTCACCCCACTGGCTTTATTAGGTAATTAACTCAGATTTGAAGAGTCTCAAAATAGCAGTGTGGCAACCCCTCGTAATCAAATGCAGTCTAGATGGATTGCAGTAATAAGTAGAGTGAAGTACTATCAGCAATTTTATGAAAAATACTGCATAAATATTTAGACATTACCTCTTTTCACCAAACCCCGAATAGGAGCTGGAGGTGGATTGAAGTTCTGAACCTCTAGAATGGGGTCCATGGAGTAGTAGATCAAATTTAAAAATTTAGGCCAAATAATTTACCTGTTATTGCTTCAGGGCAGGGATCTAGCTTCAGTGAAGTAGATATGTACATAGGTAAGACTTGATAGGTACAGAAGTGAGAAAATGTGATATCCTAGAAAGATAAAAGTGGCATTAAAGATAGTAATTGCATTGCTAAGCCTGTGAAGCACTTTCTGGACAGTTCTTCAAGATCTTCTGAGATCCGGTTATGCTGCCATTGCATATTGTGAGCCACATGTGACACTTTATCCCAGAGGTATTCGAAGCACAAACTTGGGACAGCACCCACACTCCCTATGGCATTTATAATTCAATAAAGGTCAGGTGTGGTGATGCAGACCTCTAGCCCAGCACTCTGGGAGGCTTAGACAGAGAACTGCAAGTTCGAGCCTAGCAATTTAGTGACTTAATAGGATGGAGACCCCTCACCATCTTGAAATAAGAAATAAACAGGATCTGTATCTGTGTAGATGTAGCACAAAGCACAGCTGCTGGGTTCAGTCTCCAATAGTGATAAATAAATTAATTAATAATAATAAAAATAAATCCACAATAAAAAAATCAACCTTATGGGCATAAAATAAATGTTGAATTCTACTTCTTTGTTAAACAAAAGGCAAATCAAATCCCAGGTCAATATTTGAGGCAACTGGTCCCAGAAATGCTAGCTTACTTAATAATGAAAAACTTTATCTACATATCAGTTTCCCTGGCTACAATTTGGAAATATAAATACTTATTTTACAGGATTGTTTTAAGGAATAAATGAAATAATATACGAAAAGCACAGTACTTCAAACTTGGTAGGCACCCACAAAGTTGCTTATAGTGTTGTTTTTAGTGTGTGTGAACCTTAGTTTTCCACATAGGGTTCTCCCATGTGCCATATGTGTGTTCCTTTTGGTGCTATAATGAACATTCTTCTAGCCCCTCAAAGTCTTTGTAAAAATGTAGACACTAGACCCAGAAATTATTTGGGGGGAATTCTTGATTTTAAGGATGAATATGCTAAGACCCAAAGACTTATCCAAGATCCCATGGTTAATTAGTGACAAAAATAGGATTTGTCCAAATTTTCCTATCTCCCAATCCAATGACTGATCATTTGCATTATTATTATGCCATGTTATGAGGAGCACTCCAAATGAGCATGCTAAAGAATATCTATTGAGCATTACCTAAATGTACCTAGAGTGGTGCTAACTTTGGAAGATATAATGGAAGTACGAGATTCTTCGTAACTAATAATTAAAAATTTATAACAGAAACAAATACAAACCCTCCTCTCATTGCAGACTTCTTTCCCCATTGATTTTATGCTAATTCTAACTGTTCCTCTTTAATATTTCTGTCTTTAACTATGAGAATAAGTTAATCCAACGATATACATGAATTCTTGCTGAGCAGTTTATGACTGATTATTGCTATGTGGTACGCTTCACAGTTAGGGTCAGGTACACGTTCATTCACTTTACACACATAGTCCAATTAGATTTCCCAAATCTATTTTATAGATGAAATGCGAAAAATATGGAGACATGAAGCTACTTGCCCAAATCTTTCTCAAATGCCAAAGCCTGTGTTCCTACTACACAGGTTCATTTGAATTTTTAATTTCAATATTAATCCCTTAAAGCAAAATTAAAAAATACAATGCACATAAATTACTTAATTAGTAAGTAGTAGTTCATACCGCAACATTTCCTAAGTGTCAAATTATTTACTAGATTTACCAGGCTACACCGTAAAAGAGTAAAATTTGTGTTCCACTAACAACCACAAATGACTTTTTTCCTCCGCTTTCCCCATATCCTCACCACAATAACTCTCATCTCAGGGTCTTATTAGTCCTTCCAAACGGCAAGAACCCTAACCTGTGCCCTTGACCTTTTTAGGCTCAAGAAGTTATCTCAAGGGGAAATGTTTGCTTTCTCCTCATTTCTAATATTAAGCCAGTTAAAAAAACAAAATGTGAAGTTGTGCTCAGAACGCTCTTCCAAAGTATGAGCGAAGGTCATTTCTGCTTCTTTTCATCTCATTGCAAGCTCTTCCCTAAGCCTCAGCCTGAGTGTGGGAGTACAGGCCATAGGACATTTGAACAACAGATGAGGGGTGGGGATCCGCATCACCCTCCTTACAGAAGCTGGCTTGTGGCCTTCAGTTAAACCTGGAAAAGTTCTTGCCCAAGAGCTTTCTTAGGCCTTTGTGTTAAGAGACAACTGGAAGCCAATCCCAGAGACCTCTAGATGTGCCCAGTCCCAACTGTGAAAAATGTTTAAAAGTTAATTCTGTTATACTTTCCTTTGTGATTTGGAGGTGCTGTAAAAACATTTCTACTAGCAAGTCATTCATTGTTTTCAGCAGCTAACCCAGGCCTCCAGATCTCTCTTTATCCGTATGTTCATCTCTTTGACCTCCATGCCTAAAAACAGTGATTCTGAGTACAGTGACTGAAATATCACCCTCTTCCTACCAAAACACTTTTTTATGAACCAACATTAATTGGCCTCCCTCCCTCTCTCTCTCTCTCTCTCTCCTTCTCTCACACATACACAATCTAAAACTCAAAACAGTATAATTACATAGCTATGAAAATGAAGGCTCAGAAAGATTAAATAATTTTCCTTAGATCTCAGGTAATAGAGCTGGGAACAGAACAAAAGTCTGGTCACAAAAGCTCTTTCCTGACATTGAGCTTCTTTGCCTTCCTTAAACTGCTTCAGCTTAATACCAATTTCTGAAACGCAAAATACATAAAAGGACAACAGAAGTAAGCACACTATAAATACATAATTAGCATGAGTAAAATGTGCATTTATTATTTTTATGTCAAGGCTGTTTCTGTGAATGTTTCACATAACAGCATTTTAGTTGATAAATTTCAAAGATGCACATTTGCTAGTTGAAGCAAGAAAATGTCAATAATCCCACTTTATTTTATTAATTTAGATATGGCTCAGGCAAGTACATCTGGTATTGCTATACTTAGAGCTAAGAGGAATCAGGAGAAAAAAAATCTGTTAACAGACGGACTCAGTCAGATTCGGGAAATGACTCCACTACCCAATTGCCTACTCACCCTCCATTCCTGTCTGCCCCTTACAAATCATCCACTGAAAACTATGCCAAAGATGAATGTGAGCATGGAATTAATCAAAATAAGATGAAGGACCAGCAGTCTATCACAGGTGGCAGCTTCATTAACAAAAGCCAGACAACAGCCAATACAATTTTGGAAATCAATGATACCCAGGCAAAATCAAAAGCAACCAGAAGACTCTGACTTTTGCTAGAAAAAAAAATTTTTTTAAAAAAATCTTTGTATTTGTTTAGACCCTTTGACTTGAAGATGTCAAAGCAGTTCACAAGCAATTTCGTTTATTCTTGTTTCTGTTATGGAGAAATCAACAGAGACATTAATTCATCTTTCCCTCTGGGCAAATGGGAAACAGAAACAGAAAAGAAAGTAATTGTGCTCACAACTTTCCTTCTAGTTGATTCCTACATAAAAGATCAACAAGGCCTGTATGCAGCCATTTTGATTAGCCCTACAGCAGCTGTCTTTGGAAGCGTCTGCTCAATTCAGAGTGGTCCTTCCCGAGGAATACCCCATGATTCACAGAAGTGAAGCTTCACAGTCCTATTTGCTCTATTTGTTCTTCCTGTCTTCATCCTGGGGGACACATGACCCTTCTGCAGCCAATCAGATTCTCCTTACAAGGACTTAAATTCTACTAACAATGTAAGTCAGGCCCTGTGAGGTGGACCAGGGCAAAAAGATTATCTTCAGAGACAAGAACAAAGTGGTTGTTAGGGAACTAAGGAGGTCCAGTTCCTGGCTTCAGTCTCCTGTGAGTGAAACATTCATGAAACCCTATTGTTAAATTCTTCTCTTCTGCTAATGTAGCCTCAGCATTTATGCATTTGCAATTAAAAGTTAAAATTATTTTATTGATGTTTCTGTTGGGTCTGCATTCTTACTGAAATGTCTGCCTTGCAATCTTATGTAGTTCTCCTCCCATGTTTCTATTTCCCATTCTCCATTCATTGTCTCCTGCCTGCACTGTCTCATTACTTTTCTCCGGTCTGCATCTTAAATATAAGTATTCTTTCATGTTTTGTGCTCAATTCACCTCTGCATCCCCTTCCTGGAGAATCTCACC